CTCTGGGAGTAGGCTTGACATTTTAATAATAAATCACTGGTTCACATTCGTACATTATCTTATTTTGAAAAATGACATGAGGCGTAGTTTGCAATTGTAACATGAAAGAATGCCAAACATGCTTTTCGTGACAACAATGAAACGTGCAAAGCTACCAGCGTTAAAGTCGGGAACTGCAGAACACGAAATGGCAAACATGAGAAACGTGCCAAAATGTGCAAACCTGACAGAAAACCAAATGCGAAAGAGAGCGACCTAAACTGACAAACGTGTACGCCTTATATTAAAGCGGAGGGGTCATCACGCACGGAAATCGAGTCCCAACCGACGATAACAACACGTTTTTAAAACGCAAAAGCTCATAGGTGGACGGTTATTTGTGAACAATGACACGCTATGGCCATATGACGCACGCGCAGGTGACGACACCCCCGTTTCAAAAGATAAGAAACTAGCTACCTACGAATCACCATCTTATGAGCGTGTCATAATAAGCGAAGGTGAAAACCATGTTTGTTACAAAAACTGAAGACCTCAAAAGTACTTTTGCACAATGTCATCTTTTGATTTCCCGATGCATTTAAGTAAATATATATAAGTATTCTTGTCTAACCGAACCGGAAGTGAAAATGTGTTAATATCAAAAAATATTTTAGTACAACACTCTACATCAAATGACGTGCCTGCACGGTGAGAAATACGAAAGGTCAATATTAGCTCCGTATCAGCCATATCTTTATACTGTGTATTAAAAAGTGTCATAATTACCTTTTTAATTTAAGTTTTTTGTAATAGATATATTTTTGCATGTTTTTTTTGTTCAGAGAATGTTCATATTAAATTATTTAGGGCTATGGGGGAGGTAAGCTTACCAGGCTACCCTCACTAAATAAGGTCTAACAATAAATGAATCTAATTGAGAGAAAATTGTGTTACAGCATGTACTGACAATAAATCAGTCCTGTCTCGAACATGTATAAACTTAAAACTTCCAGGCACGCCTATTTCTGACTGTTATCAATATCCCTGGATCTCGAAAATATTGTGGAGTTGCATATCATATAAACCTTATAACTCCTTAACTTGACAAAAACATGCCCTTTTATGATCTTGAATCCATAAAGTAAAGGTATTCGAATTATGGCCGGCTACTCATATATGTACTAATATTACAAGGCGGAAAATCGCCCATGAGTTAGTCAACAACGAAGTCATATATTAACTGAGTCGGTCGATCAAATCAAGAATATTGAAGAGTTGCATATTATGAAACACAGAAAATAAAATAAAAATAACCGTTTACATATGTTGCAAGTGGATCTTGGGGCATACTCTGCGCATGTGCAAATGCTCATTTTTGTCGTTGGTTAACGTTACATGTTGTGAAGCAAAGCTGCGAACACCACAACCACGAAAATAACCCTGCTTTTATAAAATTAAATATAAGATATGTTTTATTCTGCGTTATGACTAACACAAGTTTGGGTTGACTTTCTTCCCCAGAGAAGAAACAAATTCTGTTTGTTTGCCCGTGTATTAGGCCGAATGACCGCGAGCAACCTTAATAATATAACAAAACATTTACTTCTGTAATTTGTGAAAAACGAAAGGAGATGCCAAATTGTGTTTTATTACCTTTTCACCAAAGAGTATACCTTTCAATATATATTGTATCCATTAATTTACACGTTAAACAGCAATAGTTGCTATTTACACTCGCACTACGACTTCGATGTAACATTTCCTAGTGATTAGAAGACAGATTTAAGAATGACTGATCCTTTCCAGTCAACTGTTGTCCAGTTAATTTTTTGTCATATAAATTTAATAGGAAAAATAATATAGTTTACTAATCGTGTCAACTTGAAAGCTACAAGCCTGAATGCTTTGATACTTAGTGTATATGTACCTTGGATATACCTCTCTTAGATTTGTTCATTTTGTAATGATATCTTTTATTCTCAAATTTTGGTGACTATTTTTGTAAGTTTTGGTAAAAAGTAATATTTTCTACTTGTTAAAAACCGCAAGTCCAATTGCTTTGATATCACATATATGGGTACTACATGTGGACCTCTCTCAGATTTGTTCATCTTTATATCTTTAATTCTTAAATTTTGATGAATATTTTTGTCATTTTCCGTGAAAAGAGATATTTTTGAAGTCCGATTGCTTTGATACTATACATATTGTTCATTTTCTAACGATATCTTCTGTTTTTTAATTGAAATGTGCATTGCTAACAGTGGAGCTATCTCAGCCGACAGGCTGCTTGTTTCAAGATTTCAACGTAAATTTTTCATAAAACCAAAAAAAACATACTGTGGTCCATTTCTGTCACTGATTTAGACCCAAATTATTTATACAGTCGCTCAAAACAATACAACTTACAAATAAACTATTTTATTCTGTTGTGGTGACATTACAGTCTGGCAAGGTTTTGTATACATTAACGTACAATTTAAACCGAAAGACTTACTATTTACACTAACACTACTACCTCGACAATACATTTTATAGATGACAGGTATAGGAACGGCTTTCTTTTCGCACACTCCATTTTATAGAGCATATGGTCGTTTAACTAAGGTTAAATGTCACATGGCAGTTATCGCGTGTTTCTCTGTAGATGCATTTTCTTGGTTGATTGTCTGTCTGTCCAGTAGATTGCATTCGTAGATCGCACTACTTATTCAATAGTAATTATAAAGGTATTTTAGATGTTATTTTCTTTCACGATACGATTTTGCTTTTATGGTATTACTAAATCATCTGCACAGGACCAAGCGAAGCTTTTATAGCATAAACAGCGATTATAGCATAAACGGTTATTTTGTCTGATATATTATCATACTATCAACTACGACATCCGCGATGTTCTATTGTTTTAGCTGCAGATATTTTGCTGTATTCAATCACATTACTTGATATATTTTGACCCCTTGTTAATTGTTTACTCTTGTGTAATGTTTTGAACGGCACATAGAACATAATTCAGAAACCGGAGATACCATCTATATAGGATGAGAAGGCCCAAAAATGTTGACTTGTGTCATTATGTGTCTCACCATTGTTATGTCATTATTTTATCGTTATTATGTCTTATTTATTGAGCCAGGAGCTGATAGAACACCAGCCAATAAGATGTGTTCTGATTTCGCGTCGCCACTTCGGGATGCCCCAAATGGGGTTATCTTAGTGACCCGTAGTCTGGCATGCATTCATAGTGCACTCAAGAATGGTCTGGTGAATCGCTACATAAATTCTGTGTCATCATTGTTTGACTGTCACCATGAGCTATCATGGGAATTCGCATGAGCATACTGACTCGTACGTAAGACCCGCCCACATAAACTATATATAAGAGTTTTTGAAATGCGGTTTCTCACCCCTTTAATATTATCGCCGATTTTTCAGTGCCGAAGTGATTTTCATCCAATATTTTGCATCTTACCGTCGGACTGAATTAGTGACATTATCAAAAATTTATTGAAAACTGTTCGTTTTTGGCTTCGATGTTTTTCTTGCTCTGAAACGCAAGGGCGATAAGTCTTAACACAGGTTGTTTGGATCGGACAATTTCTTTTGTCTAATTAAATGAGAACGTTGTGGTTTTATGAATGCATAACAATTTCTTCTTGCACAACGGAGTTTGATATGCCAATCATTTCAATGCAATGTGTCTACACTTGCGGTTCTCATTTTCTATGTGTGAAATCGCTGCAGTGGACGGTGACGGCCGACGTATTGTTGTGGTTCTATGGCTCACCTGACACACCTGACTTTTAACCTTCTTTTTCTTACAAATCTGACAAGTACACTACAAAACTTCGGTATATCAGTAGTGCAATATTTGCGAAAACAATCCTGCAGACCCGTGGACAATTCCTAATATTGCAAAATTTAGATTATTAGATTGATAGTAGGAATTGCCAAGCCAGTTATCAAATGTCTATAGAATTGTGAACAAATATTTTCTTGAATATAACTGACCGCAAAATAATCGCAAAGTGTCTTGTCTATTATTCAAGTCGTGTACGCAAACGTAATCTGGGTTGCGTTCGCGTCGCCGACTCCGGCCTACCCCGTTTTTGTTCGACTGAAATGTGACGTCACAACTGGTGCGACCACTACCACGCCTGCTCGACACTAATTCCCCGGACTACGTGTACACGACTTCTTCGGGGAGCCCTTTCGTTGCCACGGGCAGCGACGCGAACGCACTTCTGGGGGTGGGGGGGTAGTGTCACGTGATTGTATTCGTCCGTTGCTATATAACTCGCATAAAATTTCTTTTAAAAACACGCCAATTGCATTTTATCTTTGAGAAAATTACCTAAACAACTTTTTACCTAACGAATTTCTTTGGTACATTTTGCTATCTTTTCCCAAAACTTCCTCGGCATTGCATCAGGGGCGGTAAAAACTGCTCGGAGACGATTTATTTGTGACAAAGTAGTCGAAATATAACTTGGCAGGCCCGAGGAACGAACGCACTCCATCACTCGTCCAAACGTTCGACCCCCCCCCCTCCACAAGCTAGAAACTAAGTCACCAACGTTGACTCGCTGAAGGCTATTGACGTCATTTTCGAACACTTTCCTTAGCTATAGCACAACTATTCACACAACGCAACATGTTTTTAGGAAAAAGATGTATAGAAATGAGGTTATCAAGAGTATAATATCGCATAAGTATGCACTCAGGCAGCACGGGGTCGTATCAACCTTCGCTACGCATTGGTCCATATGGTGGCCGTACTGCCTCCATGCATATATATGTACTTTGCTATATACTCGTGGTAACCTTATAATAATCTATTATCAAGAACACACGTATAATACACGTATAATACACGTGATTGAGCACAGTACAGTAAAGTAAGAGCAGTGACAAATAATTGCCCAGAGTAACTAAAGGCTAAACAATACTAAACATTAATATTCAGTGAATATTCAGTGAAAGTAGCGATATACTAATGTCTTGGATAAATTCCCAATCTATGTTTTAACAAGAGCTTTGCCAATATTGTCTCCGGTAAACAGGCCGAAGAACGCCTTGGGCATATTTTCAAATCCATCCGTAATGGTTTCGTCAAGATTGATCTTGCCCTGAAAGTATGGATAAATAGATAAATAATTTATTTTAATTTAATTTAATTTGTACAGATGTTCGTGGAATAAATCAATCAATTAATTAATTAATTAAATAACCAACGGAAATATTAATACCAATGTGGCTCACGAAAACACACAGATGACTAGTATAGTATCGACCAAATTTACCTGTAAATACCACTCAGCAATCTGTTTAAACGCCTCTGGATATCTGGCTTTATAAGAGGAGACAATAAATCCCTGGATTTTAAGTTCTTGTATGACAACCAACATATCATAACTCGTGACTTTAAATAATATAAAATATGGATATATTATAAACAGATTTGAACAGATCTGGTACCTAGATGCTTTGAAAATAATGTGCACACATGATTAGTCTTTGGGCCATGTTCGTGCGTATTAATTACTTCTTTTCAGCCTGTTTAAGCAAAATCGCAAAAATTTCTGAGCGTATTTTAGTACATTGCATGTTATTTGCTTGCTTTAATGCTATTGCTCTTTCGCTGACTGTTGGGAAATCGTATTTATGTGCGCTTTGCAGAGTTTAACTTTGATTAAATTGTTTTATTTTGTAGAATATGTAGGAGATTTCATTTTAATATTACTACCAGCAACAATAATTCTCGCAGCTCCGACTGCACCATTCCCCACAATCGTCACACCCTCCATTGGTGTACACATATCGATAAGTCCGAAGTATGACTTAATTCTGAATTATAATCCGGCCTTGCAAAATTTAAATTTGTATTATATTTCAATATCGCAATGTGAGCTTTTAGAGGGTAATATGACATACTTAGATATACTTACTTCAGCGAAATTGACAATCATAAAATGTGTGTTGCACCGTGACATTATCATGAGTGGAAATACTCCCCAAACACTTTCACGTTTGTCAAACCCCAAGCGACATTTTGTCGTCACTGCGACGCTCATTCTGCTTCCCAAAGTTTCTTGTGGTTAAACCACCAAAGGTATCAATCTCCCACGCAGAATTCTATTTGTAGCATAAGATCGCAATGTGGCAGAGATATATTTGTAGAAATAGAACTCTGAGTGACGCTATGAACTT